AGTCAGACACAAGAAAAGCACCTACTCTCTATGATTCTATTTATAAAAGTCTCAAAAATAAATAAAACTGGTCTATCATGTTAGATGTCAGAGGAGTAGTTGGGTGTAAGGGGTGACTGGCACATCCCAGTCACCATGACAAGGGGCACAAGGCAGATTTCTGGGGTAGTGACAATGTTCTATGTCTTCATATGAAAGATGGATACAGGGGTGTGTCCCTCACAATTCACTGAACCTCTAACTGACTTGTACATTTTTCTGCCTGCATATTATATGTGGTAGATGGCTTTACTGCCCCTAGTCCTTTGCTGTCTCTCCACTGGGGACAGAGCACTTCTTCACCCTACTGATGTTGGGCCCATGTGACTTGCTTTGGCCAATAAGAGGTTAGTCAGAATGATGTGTGCAGAGAAATGAAATATGTTTTTGAGTAGTTTAGTAGATTAGTTTTGCCCTCTGTCATGGTCCTAAGAAGAATACACCTCAGGGAGCTGCTGCTCTTTGGCCTGACTCCCAGGATAATATACAAGGAACAAACTGAGCTAGACCTCAAGTCAGGCCTTGCTGTTCAAGTTGCAGCTGATTGTGAGGGGGAAGAAAGATTGTTTTCAACCACTGAGTGTTGAGGTGTTTTCTTATACAGTATTATTATGGCAATGGCTGACTAATACATCATTCATCAACAAAAATACTTTAAGATCTCTGTGCTCCACCTAATAGTCACCTGTTTCAGTTTAATGTTAATGACACCCACCTCAGCACTTAAATAGCCTATTCAGTCTATAAAATGGAGATGATGTTTACCTGACAATGCTCTTGGGAGGACTCATGCCCCAGTAGACCTAAAAACACTCTGTAAGTAGGAGAACACAATTTTTAAGTGATGGATGAAGGGGCAGGAGGTGAGGTGGAAAAACAAGTGTATGGATCACGGCACATGCCAAGCAAAGCTGCTTCCTCCCCACCACGGCCATCCTGACTACAAGTGTGGGGAGGAGGCTAGGGAACAAGCCAGGGCCTGCACCAGAACAGTCACCCAGCTTCTGAGCATAGTTCTGTGGGGCCTGGAAGGCTGTGGGAGACAGCGATGCTGATCAGGCCTCCCGAAGGCTGGCTAATGTACATGTCAAGTACGCAATACAGGACCCCAGGGAGGCCACCGCACCCTCAGATCTACCCCTCAACTGATGACCTTCTACGCTGTTGGAAGAGTCACCATCAGTGTTTCATTTAATTGGGTTACAGTGCTATTTGCTTACCCATCCACTGTTAATCCTTACTGCCTTGCCTATGGCAGTTCTCAGGTTACAGAGAGCAGGCCCTCTGTTCTCTCCTTTGGTACTATTTCCTTTGTGTGGAATAGGAACCTAAGACTCTAAGAGATTAAGTGATTCTTGCAAACCTACTCAGTTAATAAGCTAAATTAGCACTGAATTTGAAATAGGTTTTTTGACCAAAACTTCTGAGAAGTAATCCACAGATGTGAGCAAGAATTCCACCACTAGATAACCAGCTGTATTCTCAGAAAACAGGTGGCCTTGGCTTGAGGGGGCAGGATACTAAGTCAACAGGTATGAGGGGAAATTTGGGGTTTGGGGCATGGGGCAAGCAGTGTCCTTTGAGTAGGGTTGGGGCATGGGGACAATGAGGAAGCAGGAAGGAGGAATGGAGTGGGAGGGGGAAGAGACTGCAGACCCCCATGCTGGCCACCAGGGGCATTTGTTCCCAGGGAAGGAGCCGTAGAAGATGTGGTACATATACACAAGGGAATATTATTCAGCCATAAGAAGGAAACAAATCCTAGCATTTGCAAAAACATGGATGGTGCTGGAGGGTATTATGCTCAGTGAAATAAGCTAGGCAGAGAAAGACAAGTACCAAAGATTCTACTCATTTGTGGAGTATAACAACAGAGCAAAACTGAAGGAAAAAAACAACAACAGTAGATTCACAGACTCCAAGAAGGGACTAGCAATTACCAAAGGGAAGGAGTTAGGGATGGGGTTGTGGAGGGAGGGATAAGGGGATTAAGGGGCATTATGATTAGCACACATAATATAGGTGGGTCATGGGTAAGGCAATATAGCATGGAAAAGACAGGTAGTGACTCTACAGCATCTTACTACGCTGATGGACAGTGACTGCAATGGGGTCGGGGTGGACTTGATAATATGAGTGAATGTTATTCACATTGTTGCTCATGTGAACCCTTCATAAGATTGTATACCAACGATACCTTAATTAAAAAAAAAATCATACATTCCATAACTGGAAGTCCTCCACTGCTGGAGGATTTCATGTGCCAGTAGACCTAAAAAACTCTTTGTAAGTGGCAAAACACAAATTTTAACTGCTGGTTAGCATGTAAAGTGGTATAATCACTTTGGAAAACTATTTGTCAGCATCAATTGAAGTCAAATATATCCCCATCCTATAAGCCCGCAATTCTATTCCAAATGAAGTGTCCACCCAAGGGTATGCACAAGAATGTTAACAGCTGTGCTGTCCACAATAGCCCCAGACTGGGAACAACCCAAATGCCCTTTAAGGTCAATGGTTAAACTGTGGTATATTCATATAATGGAATATACATAACAATGAAAATGAGGAACTTTTTGCAACTCACAACAACTTGGATGTTTTTCACTAAGTCAGACACAAGAAAAGCACCTACTCTCTATGATTCTATTTATAAAAGTCTCAAAAATAAATAAAACTGGTCTATCATGTTAGATGTCAGAGGAGTAGTTGGGTGTAAGGGGTGACTGGCACATCCCAGTCACCATGACAAGGGGCACAAGGCAGATTTCTGGGGTAGTGACAATGTTCTATGTCTTCATATGAAAGATGGATACAGGGGTGTGTCCCTCACAATTCACTGAACCTCTAACTGACTTGTACATTTTTCTGCCTGCATATTATATGTGGTAGATGGCTTTACTGCCCCTAGTCCTTTGCTGTTTCTCCACTGGGGACAGAGCACTTCTTCACCCTACTGATGTTGGGCCCATGTGACTTGCTTTGGCCAATAAGAGGTTAGTCAGAATGATGTGTGCAGAGAAATGAAATATGTTTTTGAGTAGTTTAGTAGATTAGTTTTGCCCTCTGTCATGGTCCTAAGAAGAATACACCTCAGGGAGCTGCTGCTCTTTGGCCTGACTCCCAGGATAATATACAAGGAACAAACTGAGCTAGACCTCAAGTCAGGCCTTGCTGTTCAAGTTGCAGCTGATTGTGAGGGGGAAGAAAGATTGTTTTCAACCACTGAGTGTTGAGGTGTTTTCTTATACAGTATTATTATGGCAATGGCTGACTAATATATCATTCATCAACAAAAATACTTTAAGATCTCTGTGCTCCACCTAATAGTCACCTGTTTCAGTTTAATGTTAATGACACCCACCTCAGCACTTAAATAGCCTATTCAGTCTATAAAATGGAGATGATGTTTACCTGACAATGCTCTTGGGAGGATTCATGCCCCAGTAGACCTAAAAACACTTTGTAAGTAGGAGAACACAATTTTTAAGTGATGGATGAAGGGGCAGGAGGTGAGGTGGAAAAACAAGTGTATGGATCACGGCACATGCCAAGCAAAGCTGCTTCCTCCCCACCACGGCCATCCTGACTACAAGTGTGGGGAGGAGGCTAGGGAACAAGCCAGGGCCTGCACCAGAACAGTCACCCAGCTTCTGAGCATAGTTCTGTGGGGCCTGGAAGGCTGTGGGAGACAGCGATGCTGATCAGGCCTCCCGAAGGCTGGCTAATGTACATGTCAAGTACGCAATACAGGACCCCAGGGAGGCCACCGCACCCTCAGATCTACCCCTCAACTGATGACCTTCTACGCTGTTGGAAGAGCCACCATCAGTGTTTCGTTTAATTGGGTTACAGTGCTATTTGCTTACCCATCCACTGTTAATCCTTACTGCCCTTGCCTATGGCAGTTCTCAGGTTACAGAGAGCAGGCCCTCTGTTCTCTCCTTTGGTACTATTTCCTTTGTGTGGAATAGGAACCTAAGACTCTAAGAGATTAAGTGATTCTTGCAAACCTACTCAGTTAATAAGCTAAATTAGCACTGAATTTGAAATAGGTTTTTTGACCAAAACTTCTGAGAAGTAATCCACAGATGTGAGCAAGAATTCCACCACTAGATAACCAGCTGTATTCTCAGAAAACAGGTGGCCTTGGCTTGAGGGGGCAGGATACTAAGTCAACAGGTATGAGGGGAAATTTGGGGTTTGGGGCATGGGGCAAGCAGTGTCCTTTGAGTAGGGTTGGGGCATGGGGACAATGAGGAAGCAGGAAGGAGGAATGGAGTGGGAGGGGGAAGAGACTGCAGACCCCCATGCTGGCCACCAGGGGCATTTGTTCCCAGGGAAGGAGCCGGGAGCAGAAGGAGCACTTCCCTGGGAGTGAAGAAAGAGTCAGAAGGATGCCAACTGATTCAGGGACTCCGCAGACCCGATTCCTCTCCCACGTCAGCAGTCCGGGGTGAGGCTGCCCCATCTGCCACGAGAGGCCCTGCAGTCCCTCCCACCGCCCGCCCAGGTGTAAAGGGAGACTGGACGCAAGGCTCGTCTCCTACCACACTGGTCTCTCTCCTTCCCTGCCAACACCCGGCATGGGCCAACCGTCTGGCCTGAGTGGCTCCTGTAACCAGTACAGTCCTCACTGTCAAAATGGTGAGAGTTGCCACAGAAAGGTTATCTTTGAACAAAGCTGTATCTAAGCAAACACAGACTTCCTTTAGAGTGCAAATATCAAGGACCCATTTCCGTGGATTAAACCAAACACAGCAACCTTCAAGGCAGGAGTTGTGTGGGGTGCAGTCTTGCTATTTTCTTTGCAAAGAGTTTCACACGGTGGGCCTGAGAATTTCTGTTGGTAAGTGAGCCATCAGGGCTCCTTCCCTGGGAACAGTCTCAGCTTGGCCCTGCCCGGAAGCAGGCTTCTCCCATTTCTCTGGCCCCAAGTTGAACATGTGCCTGTGACCTACCTCCACAGTCCGAAGGCCGTTCTGCTTCTGGGTCAGAGCTCCTGAGCTGAAGCTCTGGGGATTCGGGCACTGGGTCCCACAACTCATCTTCTTCTCTGGGTTGGGCACTCCACCTGGTGCTGCAGGTCGGGGCACACCCTTGGAAGACAGCCCCTCTTCCGGCGCACCTGGGGGAAGGGGGAAGGGAGAAGAGGACGGCACTCAAGTCTTGTATATGGCAGTGGCTGCAAAAAATCCCCCAAAATGTGGGGAAAAGATAGCCACAAAGAAGAAGTATAAGTTGCCAGGAAATCCCACATCCCTCACAGAACTTTTTTTCTATAAGATCACATGTGCCTTTACAAAAATGAAACTTTAAAATAATTTTGTAGTCTGAAATTTTTACTTAATACATCAATGACATTTTTCCATGCCATTAAATGTATTCTGCCATATTATTTTTCACACATTTAGTCTGCTATTGTACGGATGTGTCACCATTTATTTAACTAATCCCCTCGATTTGGATATCTGTGTTCACTTTTTCATAATAAACGTTACTGTTGGTCAAACTCCTTGGGGTTAAAGCTTTATTCTCAAGTACTTCCTTAGGATAAATTCCTAGGAGTGGGATTACTGGCTTGAAGGTTATATACTTTAACAGAATTCCATCTCAAGGTGTGGGGCTGACCTTGTGTTACTCCCATAAAAATACCAAGAAATGATAGAATGAAGTTTAAAATAAGCAGTCACAGTGAAAAGCAAGAGGACTACAATAGCAATTAATGGATGAAGAGTATCCGTTAGAAGAAAGGTGGAAAAAAGAGGAAAGGTGGCCCAGGAAGCATGTGGGGGTGTACCAAGTGGGAGACAAGAAGGGGGCAGAGACTCTGTGACAGCCTCAGGGAGGCCAGGGGCAGCCCAGGCAGGTCAGTCATTCTACTCCTGCAGCAGCTGAGGCCAGTCAGCAATGACGGAGCAGTCCGTGAGGGTGAGATATCATGGAATTATAAGAAATACATATTTGGTCTTCATCTCCAGTTCCTGGCATAGTGCTCCTAGAACCTTTGTAGCTTCCTGAGTATCACTAGGGGTGACAGGAGCACCATTGTTCTAAGGAGGTGGCTCTTGGAGGCCCCCTAGATAGCTGCAGGATGGGGGCTGGTTGCCAGAAAGATCTAACCTTGACTGGGAGCCAGGAACTTTCAGCCCCATCTGGTAAGGGGGAGGAGCTGGAGGTTGTGTTAATGGATCACACCTACAGGATGAAAACACAGTAAAAAATCCTTAAGGGACAATGTTAAGGGAGCTTCCACATTGGTAAAAGCATCCATGTGCTGGGACAGTGGTGCACCCCAAACTCTACAGGGACATAAGTTCCTGCTCTTGGGACCCTTCTTTCTAGACCTCACCCTATGTACCTCTTCATCTGGCTGTTCATTTGTATCCTTTATAATAAAGTGGCAAACATCAGTAAAGTGTTCCTGAGTTCTGTGAGCCATTCTAGCAAATTACTGGACCTGAGGAGGGGGTATAAGAACCCTGATTTATGGTCAGCTGGTCAGAAGTTCAGGTAGTAACCTGGGTGCAGTCTTGCGGGACTGAGGCCTTACCCTGTGGGGTCTGCATTAACTCCAGGTAGTTGGTGTCAAGATTGAACTAACTGTAGGACACCCAATTGCTGACTGGAGTGTTGGAGAATTGGTTGATTTGGGGAAAATCCCACGCATTTGATGTTAGAACTGTTCTGAGTAGAAGAGTCGCAGAAAAAAGGACTTGGCTCAGAGGGGAGAGCAAAGCCCTCAGGGGCTGGTGATGCCTGAGAGAAAGAGAAATTCATACCACGAAGGCTGCTTTCTGAAAACAGTGCCAGGAGTTAAATAAATACTAATTTCCATCTCTGCCTTCCAAGTGGGCTTCTTAAATAGATGCCCTGATGTTCTAATAGGAAATTTCAGTTAGAGAAATTAGTACAAAAACAAGAATAAACACACATTTGGAGAAGGTCAACACCATAAAAGACAGACAGCAAACTCTACAATGAAGACCCCAAAGGAAAGGGAGGTAAAACGGTATGCTGCAGAGAATTTTAAATAAGTGTAATGAATCTGCTCAGAAAATGACGGAAGGCAGATAACATGACCACAAAATGAGGATAAAAGTGACCAAGAAGGTTCAATTAGAGATATTTGAAGTAATAACTTAAACTGCTGAAATGAATTTTAAAGACTCAGTAGAGAAACTCAATAGCAGGAGAGCCATGAAGAGCAGTTCAGTGAGATGGAAGAGCAAGCCAAGGAGTGTTCCTGGGAGGGGCAGGTGAATGTGCGAAAACCATGTTAAGAAATGCAGGCAGAGATCCAGAGAAATCCAGAAATTAGAAATTTCTAATTAGGGATCCAGAGACGATAAATCCAGAAATCCAGATCTTAGTGAAATTTTAGAATGTCATTGATAACATGAATAGCTTCAAAAGAATGAGATTTACATCCAACCTTTCATTAGTAAACAAAAAGAAAACTATGGAACAATGTTTTCAAGATTTCAAAGTCTATGCACACTGTAAAGTCTTTTGCAATATGTTGCCAGATTTACCTCTATAAATCTTTCTCCAATTACCCTATTGCCCTCTGCTAACTGGTATGTGAACTGGCAACATTCTCTACACCCTCACAAACACTGAATTTTCTTTTGTCTTTTTTCTCATCTTTGCCAATTTAAGAGGTACAACAAAGTTTTTATCGTGTGGATTTGCACTTTTTGATCTACTAGACATATTACGTTATTTATGTGCCCATTGGCTAATTGTGTGGGTTTTTAAAAATTGCCAAGTCATTTGCCTATTTTTCTTTCCATTTGCCTGGGTTTGCTTTTAATCAAAGTTAAGGAAAACAAACAAAAATCCCTTCCCAGACTGCTGAGAAATCATTTGCCATGAGGTAGGCATCAGAAGATCATGTATTTGATACTATGGGAGGGAGAGGTGGTTGCCTAAGCAGAACTGATGAGGTTACAGTCTCAACACAGTTCAGGGAGGAAGCAGTGAATCCAAAGGACACACATGTCTCTGTATCACCCACCTGCTCTGCAAAATGCTAAGAGGCTCTCAATTCTGGCCATGGGATATAAATCAGAATTCAAGACACTGAACGTCACAATAGAGTCTCCTGACTGGTGAGCCATAGCATATTGGGGCCCTGTGGATGGGTTCCAGATGTGCAAAGAAATGGATTCCTTCAGCTGGGCCTGCCCCATATCTTTGTACCCTTTCTTCCTCCATAAGCTGGCAGCCTGTCCCACTTCCCTTCCCAACTCCCCTCCATTCTGTACCAATAGGGCCTCAACTGCATGGGTATGGACACCCCAGCACACATATTCAATCTCCATCCCTACTGCTCCCACAAACAGCTGCTTCTTGGCTGAGGAAATTGCAAACCTGGATAATGGATCAGAAGTAGAGGGCCATGAAGACCCTAGAAGCAGGTTTAGGGTGATATGGACTGGTAATTCCAGGGTGCTGGCACCCACAGAAGAGTCTAGAACAGAGATTCTTAGAGTGGTCTAGGGACCAAACAGTCATCACTGGTCTGCTGTGGAGTAAGTTTAAAAACTGAATGCAAGCATTCAGAAATTCTGTGGCAACCTGACATTGCTGGTATATCCAAGGGTGAACTTGTCTGATTGAACTTCTCTGTCTGCATAGGATATAGACCAGTTCCAGGGCCATCACACTGCCATGGTGAGGCACAAGTGGCATGAGCTGTGTGGTAGTTATGCACGGTAGGACCACATATTTATGATGACTGGGGGAATAAAGCAACTGATCCTGAAGGGGACTGGGGGCTTTGGTAGGTATGTTCCCTTGACCCCTGGATAACTTGCTCTATAAGGAAGAGTGCGGCCAAGGGACGGCAGAAAAGGAGAGCATAAGCCTAAGGCAGAGACCCTACTTCTTAAGTCTAGGGTAGAAATGCCTTCGGCCCTTGGGACTGCGGAGTGGGACTCAAGGCTAGCCAGTACTGCCTTGACTGTATACTGGGCTGTATGAATGTTACTGTTGTCTGTGTGGGTCTTGACTCAGCACCCGGGTTGAGACTGGGTAAGAGGCTCTACTAAGCCATCCCTGAATGCACCATGGTGCTTCCGGGCTGGGAAGGGATGGCCATTACCTTGTCCTGCCCTAAGATACTTCAAGGCACACACCTGACCCCAGTCCTCCCCGTGCCCACAGCCAGGCCCTGGTGGGAATTAGAGGACATGGAGCATAGCTCCTTTGCCCCTTCCCCACAGTGCAACCCAACTGCTGACACAGAAGAACACAACAAAGCAGGAAAGGGAAGCTGGGAGCACCAGGGGCTGAGCAGGTAGCAGAAACGGTTCTAACATGTTTGGCACATAGATAAGACTTATTTTTTAAAATTAAGTTATCATTGATATATAATCTTATGAAGGTTTTACATGAACAACATTGTGGTTTCAACATTCACCCATATTTCCAAGATCCTCCCACCCCACTGCAGTCACTGTCTACCAGTGTAGTAAGATGCTATAGAGTTATTACTTGTCTTCTCCGTGCTGTACTGACTTCCCTGTGACCTACCTTTTTATACATTGTACTTATTTATGGCCCATCACCAGCTGCCTCGGCTCTTCATGGTGCTCTATTAGCCACATTAGTTACATTCTTGATTTATGCATCACACAATCACGCCTCCTTAAGTGCTAAACAACTGGCCCACTGAGCCTGATAAATAAGCAGAGAAACAGGGCCAGGCATAGGGACTGGCATTGCCAAATAGTGAGCTGGAACCATCTGCCCAGTGTGGCCAGGAGGTCACTGCAGGGGGTCAGGAATATGGGGTCATTTACTGTTACTTCTACCAGCAATAAACCTATAATTTTGCTGCACAGATTTAACTTGTATTTTCCAGTTTCAAAAATAATAGGCTCAATGTTGGAAAATTTGTAAACTACAAGTAAAGCACATAGGAAAAATCATTTTTAGCTCCTCACCCAGGGATATTCCCTGTTAACAAGGAGGTGTACGTCCTTGACAGATTCTATTGGTGCCCACCTAGGTCCACCAACCCAATCCCTGCACCCATCCCCCAAGCTGTGCTGGGTGTTGCTGGCCAATGGCTCATGCCTGCCTCCTTTTCTTAAGGCTTGCGCTTGGCTAAGGGAAGCC